ATCTGCAATAACACCATCGAGCCTTCATTCCTTTGAAGATGACTCCATCTTTGTGGCTCATGCTCGAGTTAACAGTCTGTCTATCAAACATATTAAAATGTGATCCGGAGTTCTTGTACAAAATCAAGCGACCACCCCACTCGTCAATTCACTTGCTTAGCATAAAAGCTGATTCAATGGCAACCAACATCCCCTGAACTTTGCCTTCATATAGCTCATAATTTTCCGATGTCCTGCACAGCTTCATTGATTCTCTGATTGACTAGGCCAACCACCTCTTCAGAGCCCTTTATCTATACGGCCTGATGTTTTCCCTGTATAATATCCACAGAAGTGCTTGAAACGCCACATGCGCTGCTTGCATCAAGTCATCCCGAGCGTGTGGAACAGTAGGTGAAGGGCTGGGTGTCAGGTCAATAAATTTAACAACCGCTTTGCTAGTTCACAAAACCAAGCATGAGACAATGGAATTCGACTATAAACCAAGGCATATGTTCTGATATGATTGATTGAGTGCTTCTAACATTGCCTTTGCTTGAGTATAGGGCTTTTGGGTCTTTCAGGCCTTGACTGGAAAATCTGACATCTTCAATAAGCTTGAAACAGGCACTGGCTTTTATGATAAGTAGCTAATGTTGATATGTATCGTCATAGCGCACGAAAGGCCGATCAGTCTAGGTTCAGCACATCAGCAGAAAAGGAGACATTATTCTGAGTTCGGGAGCCATCAATCATTTAAGGGGTAGTTAGAGGGACACTGGACAGTGGAGACATGTGGTACTTTTATGGAGCATAGTGCCAAGTGTCAACTCATATCCCTACTTTCTTCTTCAGGGAGGTCGTCCATGCAGATCATTCAATTAGTAGTCTAGAACTTGCCTTCCCAAGCACTCCTAAGTCCAACCATCTCTCCCCTGATTATTAATTATCAAATGTTAGCTAGGTTCGTATATGGTTCAAGGTTACTGTAGGAAGCCGGTGCATGATTAGGTAGACCGTAGGGGCAGCGAACGGTGAAAGGTAAAGTAACTTAGAGTCGGGATCTCGAGTTGACCAAAACCAATCAATGGAGGTGATCATCGGGATTCGAAACCAGGAGATGAAGCTAGAATATGTGATTAAAGCCTTGTGAAGGACCTTATCTGTGCCAGGCGCTCCCACACTGGTTCCCGGTGTGGGTGCACCACAGCGTAACTTCCAACCACAGCGTAATTTCCAAGTATCTTTTATATGGCATCACCATATAAAAGGTATATATAGATTATTTACTCTATGTATATACACATTTGGTTTTTCTAAATTATTATTATTTAGATATATAAGTATCTATCTTTTATTACTATCTTTATTATTAGTAAGGAAAATTATAAGTGTTAAGATAATATAATCTCTCTCTATTTTTTTCTCTAAGAAAGAAGGTTTATAGAGGGAAACTTCGCACATTCTTATATCTCTAATTTTTAGTTAATATTAAAATTTTAAGAGGGAAGATCTTATAATTAAAAGCCTTTTAAGAGTTTTATACTATCTAAAATATAGTTACCCTTAGTAAATACCCTGATATTTAACTTAGGGAGTATGTACCTTTTATATGGTGATACCATATAAAAGGTACTTGGAAGTTATGCTGTGGTTGGAAGTTATGCTGTGGTGCACCCACACCGCGGACGCGGTGTGGGTGCGCCTGGCACAGATAGTACTGGCGAGAACCGAACACAACTAGACTAGACCCTGACACAAGAGGGGCAGAAATTCTGCAAGCAGTTGTTGGGCGGGGCTCGAAGGATGAAGCTCTGAACTGTTGAACAGCTGTAATTCCGCAATAATATTATTCCGCATCCACTATCTTAGGTAGTGTTACCTTAGTATCCATGATCGTTATTTGTTGCCTAGAACTTGAGGTACTTCTTGGAGGTGAAGTGGGGTTAAGGTAGTTTTGCTGCAGCTGGTTAGCCTCGCCTTGCCTCGGCTGCACATTTCCCGTTTAAGGTGCCAGCTAAACCCCTTGATGACGCTGTGCATCCGAGGAAACAATCCTATTCGGAGCACTGAGCACAATGATTGGCTCTGGGTCTTCCTAAATATCCTTGTTCTCGCACGTCTTTATGACAAGAGGAAAGTATCCGTGTTCCGTTAAGTCCGTTGGTAAGCAACTCAGCGCTACTGTCTGCCTTCGGTGCATTTGTGATCTTCTCCCCGAGGGCTGGAACAGTTTCGCTGTGCATCTTGCCTAGTTCGGTAAAACTTCCGCCCGTCAAATCTTCTAGGGGTAATGCGGTAGACTAGCTGGGAGTGTGGTAGAAGTCCAGTCCAGTGTGGATTCAGGACAGATAACAATAGACATTGTCTATGGGGTTTCTGCCATTAAGCTTCACTTATGTAATACAACCTTCAACACATGACGTTGTGGTCCCATTGGTAATTATGAGAGCTATCCATGGTGCATACCTACTCTCCCCCATCTGTCATTCTTTTTTTCCATGCTGTATGAGATTCACCAGTAGAGCTGAGCCCTGTTTCTCGGGTGAAAATCTCTCCGCCTGTCCAGAACAGACATCGTGCTGAGCAACCAGAGCTAGATACCACTAGCTGCAGGTCTCCACTTCTTTACGCTGTTACAGTGATATGCCACTCATGAGTGGCACAGAAACGAAACGGGCAGAGGCAAAGCAGCAACCCCGCAACAGAGCGGGGTCCCAGGGATCCTGTTACGTATCGACTCCAATGGCTTCCCCTCGTTCCCTTCTCTTTGCCCCTCCTCCTTACCGGCAACAGCTCCATGCAGCTTGCCGTGTTTACTCTTTTACCTATAATAAGGAGTGTCTTCCCTCTCTTTCTGCCTCTGTTATACCCCTACTCCTCACTAATCGTCATATACACCCACCATGTCTGACCTTTCCGCCACTATCGAGACCCCCCAGGGGAAATATGAGCAGCCCTTGGGTTTGTATGTTTTCCCTGCATTCTATCTTCGCTTCTCTATTTATTCGTTCCGTCCTAACTGCTTCTCGTTCCTAGGTTCATCAACAATGAGTTCGTCAAGGGTGCTGAGGGCAAGACCTTCGAGACCATTAACCCCACCACCGAGCAGCCCATTGTTGCTGTCCACGAAGCTACTGAGAAGGATGTCGACATTGCCGTTGCCGCTGCTCGCAAGGCATTCGAGGGTCCCTGGAGACAGGTTACTCCCTCTAACCGTGGCCGTCTGCTTACCAAGCTGGCCGATCTGATGGAGCGTGATATGGAGACCCTCGCTGCTATTGAGGCTCTTGACAACGGCAAGGCCTTCACCATAGCCAAGCTTGACATCGCGGGTGCTGCCGGTTGCATTCGCTACTATGCTGGCTGGGCTGACAAGATCCACGGCCAGACCATTGACATCAACCCTGAGACGCTCACCTACACTCGTCACGAACCCATTGGTGTCTGCGGTCAGATCATTCCCTGGAACTTCCCCATGTTGATGTGGTCGTGGAAGATCGGTCCTGCCGTCGCAGCTGGTAACACCGTCGTCCTGAAGACCGCTGAGCAGACCCCCCTGTCCGCCCTCTATGCCGCTAAGTTGATCAAGGAAGCTGGCTTCCCCCCAGGCGTCATCAACATTATTTCTGGCTTCGGTCGTACTGCTGGAGCTGCTATTGCTAGCCATATGGACATCGACAAGGTTGCTTTCACTGGTTCCACCCTTGTCGGCCGTAACATCCTCCAGGCTGCCGCTAAGAGCAACCTCAAGAAGGTGACTCTCGAGCTCGGTGGAAAGTCCCCCAACATTGTCTTTGCCGATGCGGACATTGAGAATGTAAGTCCAATCCCATGAGTTCCCCGCCCTGTTCAGTCCCCCCAAAGTACATCCTCATAGCAGCGCTACATTTCATTTTTGGGGATTCTAACATCAATTTTGCGCAAATTATAGGCTTTGAAATGGGCGTCCTTTGGAATCTATTTCAACCATGGCCAGTGCTGCTGTGCGGGATCCCGTATTCTTGTCCACGAGTCGATCTACGAGAAGTTCCTGGATCGGTTCAAGGAGCGGGCAGAACAGAACAAAGTCGGCGATCCTTTTGATCCCCAGACATTCCAAGGACCTCAGGTTTCGCAGCTTCAGTTCGATCGCATCATGGGCTACATTCAAGATGGAAAGCAGTCTGGTGCAAGAGTAGTCACTGGCGGCGAGCGCCTTGGTGACAAGGGGTATTTCATCAAACCCACTATCTTTGCGGACGTCAACGGCGAAATGAAGATTGTCCAAGAGGAGATTTTCGGCCCTGTCTGCACAGTACAGAAATTCAGCACCGAGGAGGAGGCCATCAAGCTTGCTAATAGCACCAACTATGGTAGGTGTATCCAGATATGCAACTGCTTTACCCACGCTAATCTCATGGACAGGTCTTGCCGCTGCTGTCCACACCACTAACGTCAATACAGCAGTTCGTGTATCAAATGCCATCAAGGCTGGAACAGTCTGGGTCAACAATTACAATATGATCTATCCCCAGGCACCATTCGGTGGCTACAAGGAATCGGGTCTTGGCCGTGAACTCGGCTCTTATGCTCTTGAGAACTACACTCAGGTCAAGACAGTGCACATCCAAACCAGCGATTGCCCGTTCCCCTGAAGCCAATGACACACTGCGCTTCCGAACAAAATTACTCTGATTAACGAATTTTTTTTGTTTATCACGTTCAAGGTTGAAATGCTTTCAAGGATGAGGACTCTCAGATAGTAGCATTTAGTCCTTTGAATTATAATTAGCGATGCCAGCAATCACCCTGGATCCGGTATCCTAGATTTGAAGCCACCTATCTATCTTGGATTTCTTGTAGCAGTACTATTAGTTCACTGGCAGTATGATGCCATGCCAACATACAGCGTTAAAGTCAGTTGGTTCGTCTGCTACCTTTCGTCAAAAAAGCTGTAGAGTCCAGTCATGCCAACGCTCCCTTTTTGTTTCAGATACTGCGTGAGCTACTAGTACGAGCTACCGTACCTCATATCTATCTCAATCATACCCCATCCAGCAAAGAACAGTCATAGCAAAGAACAAACACAGCAACGACGTCTTCACCACCTCAATCTCCTCTTCATGACGATGCAACCAATTCCGCACTCGTCCCACCCACACATACTCCCCGTTATCCCCGATCGCAGACCAGAGCCCCGGCAACCCATCCAAACTGCTTGCATTCCACTGCCGCTGATACGAGCGGAGCTGGCCCTTCTCCACGGTCTTGCTCGCAAAGTGACCAAGCGTCTCGCGGTCCTTGAGGTACGGTTTCGGCTCGTGAGTCTCCGGGTCCAGTTTGAGGGCCAGTTGCGGGACCCCGAAACCACAGGAGGTTTGGACCTGCAACAAACAAGTGTGCAGTGATTTAGCTAAATGGGATCTTACGACCAGTGTACTGTACTCCTAATCAAAAAGATAATTGGCACTGCATTAATCAGACCTTGTAAACATCCAACCGGATAATCGCTCGCGCCCCGATGACGCTCTTGTTCCCCATGCGCTCGAGATACGTCGCGAACTCGGGCTGATTCCACTCGATCACCGAGCCTGTACAGAAGAAGCGCAGGATGCGTGGCGCAGCGTCAAAGGAGCAGAAGAGGACCGTGATCCGGCCATTTTCTCGCAGATGGCAGATGGTCTCGTTGCCGGATCCTGTTGCGTCGATGTAGGCTGCTTCGTTGGGGCCGAGGATGGCGAACGAGGCATCGGGTAGGCCCTTGGGGGAGAGATTGACGTGTTTGCCGCGGAGGGGGGCCGAGGCCACGAAGAAGACGCTTTGGCGGAGAGCCCAGTCGCGGAGGTCTGGGGAGATCGAAGGGTAGAATTTAGGCATGGTGTGGTTGATGGATGGAGCCCTCTAGTATATTCGTACAAAATTCCGCAGTGAGGTGTTAATAGTGACCGTCGATAATGAGTCACCAGTCACCTGGCTGACACAATGCAGGGATTCGTATTCGGAGTCATCCATAGAGAGGTACACTCAGACTCTAAACGAGAGTACCGCTCCGCATGTTGTCATTCCTTACATCTTTTCCTGCCTCCACGTCTTGAAATATCCAGATCACCGCCATTATTACCGAGGTAAATTTTCTCAGTCATCCGCGTAGGTATTAGAAATTTTGTCTTCTGGTCCCAGTGAAACTTGTGTCTGAGAGCACAGGCTTTTCAGGCAGGGCAGGTATTTATCCTCTGGGAAAAGGGCCATCTTCGTGAAAGCTTTTCATCTTGGATGACCTTGATTTGTAAGTAACAAGCTCACGGTTATCAATCTCGAATCCGAGAGTGGAGTCTCGTTTCCCCTCTAGATATGCTTGGTACTGTTGTATGGTTACGCTGTGTCGGGGTAGAATAACCCGAAGAGGCGTCTCGCAGTGCATTACTCCGTATCCCGAACGATCCCCAACAGTTCCTCCTCATCCATTGTTTTTAGAGTTTGAACTGATTGAAGAGACCAAAGGTCTTGCCCTTTCGATCTTTTTCTCATAGTCTCATTGATCGATGAAATCTCGTGAGACCTTTCTAGACATACAATTCCACACACTAAAAAAGTGTCCGGACGATGTACTCGTCAGTCTAGGGATACATATCCATAATCAGAGTGGTACAACCTTCAACGCCCTCCTTCTCTTCCTCTCACGCTGCCGCCGAGAATTGTTATCAACGGTGTCTGCAATGGTCTTCCCAGGAATGAATGTTGTACACTTCCTTGATTGCACCATATCACCTCAAAAGACGAGGGTACATGTAGCCGAGATATAACCCGAAATTTTGTTTGACGGGGTGCAGATAACATGCGCGATGTAAGCGAAGTCCATGATTCTGAAGAAGTTGAGGTTGTGATCTTTATTGCCAGGCGCATACCACTCGTCTCTACATTCAAAGAAGTCAGGGTCCGTCAAACGATCAAAGAAGGCCAGGAAATATGGGAGGCAACGTACCTCCCGTAGGGCTTAATCATTGCGCGGCAGTACGATAGAACTCTCTGGTGGCTTGTTCCTTCTGAAAAGGCATTTTCAAGCTTTGCCAGGCTCTCCTTGGTCAGTACCCTTATGGCAATCGCACCTGGGAACTCGAGACTGACGAGTCTCGACCGCAACAGGCGTATTGATGCTTTCGAGATCATCGAAGTCTACCCGAACGAGACACGTAGTGGTAATCTTCTGCGGAGTATAGAAGCTTTTTCTGCCTCTGCGGATTGCAAAGAGGACGATAAGTCGACGACTGAGTCGGAGTCTTCCTCGAAGGCCATGATGGTGTCCGGGAAGGTTTTGAGGTGCTTTCGATAGCTCTTCGGTTGCTGACAGGTCAGCAAAAGGTCATTGGAGAGTGACGGGCTAGCAGAGAGAGGACTCTGTCGATGAAAGAGAAAACATGAGTGCTGGAGAAGAGGGTATTCTGGTGAGGAATGGAGGATGGATGGAGGAAACAGGTGTGTTCGTTCTAAACTCGACGTTCATTTAATTGATGCCGGAATGGACCTTCCATATCCATATTGGCAGCCATCAGAAAACGCCTGTTGAGGCAACAAGAATTGAGAGGCACTGACTTTCAAAGTGGAATTGCTCTATTGAACGAGAAGACCTCCAGGCAACCCAGGAAAAGAAAATGATGATAGCAGAGATGTCCAAGGTGGAGAAAACATCAAAGGATAATTCACTCACTATGAGAGGTGAGTCCTTGGGGAGTCTCTGCGGCCTGGAAATGTAGTGAAGGAATTTGTAGTATGAGCAGAGAGGTCTGCTGAGGTATCTGTGGGTTACATGCTTAGACAAGTATTCACCAGTACAGAACATTTTAAGATATGCTACAGCTTCTTCATCTTCCCAGACTTGGTCAGGCCATTTAATAGCAGTGTACACAATACTATCGAGAGGGGCCACTATATGAATGTTATGTCTCGCAATGACGTCTTCTGTTTCAGAACGAAACAACCTGCCCCACACCTTGCCTGAACGGGTGGAAATGAAGCCATATGTATTTCCAAACTCGGTATACAAGCTTGAAATATGTGGAGTATGATTGACATACGGATGGAATAGTAGCCAGTGAAAAAAATGAAAACTGTATTGTATAAGATAGAATCAATGCAATAAAAGGTTAAAGACGCAAATCGACGTTGCCAACTCTGAGCTTAGACTGGCTGAACTCTCTATTTAGAATCCTGAGCCATAGTGATACATTACGACGGTTTTGCGAGGACGGTATGCATAACGCAATACCAAACGGAAGATCAAATTAAGCAGATAATTAGCAGTATGGACTTGGTACAACGCAGTACTCATGCTAGTATGTACAAAATGATACATTCAGAGTGAGTTCATATCACTCGTTCTGTCTTGCAGCGGGAGTGTTTCTTCTGTGAAGGGGAAGCTGTCCCAAAATGGTAGCTCCATGCCCTCCCATTCCAAGGGGACGCTATTGATATCAAAGGGACTCGCCGGTGTGGCTAGATTAACGGTGACCCCGCCCTCCGTCTGGCGTGATGCCCTACGGCCATTCAAGCTGAAAAGCTTGCTCACGTATTGGCTTTTGCTACTTTGATCCTGGTTCGAGAGTCTTTGGCGTTGTTCGGCAATAGCGTTGCGGAGAAACGAGAGTATTTCGTAGTAGTGGCCTGCTTGGGCGGACTGCTGGGAGAACATGTGGAGGATGTCGATGGCGCCAGTGAAGGCTTCTTCGAGGTCAGGATTTGGGTCTTTTTGCGAGAAGAGCGAGAATCCGACAACTAAAGCTGCAGCAAAGATGAAGGCTCTGATGAAGGTAATTATTTAGCATGTGCAAAAGGTTAAGCCGTGTGTACAACTCACTTTAGGATACACATGTTCCCTAGGAGTAAATGGGAACGATGAATCTCCAGGCAAGTTTGGAGCATGTAAAGAGCTGAGTCTGTGCAGGCGAGAGCCAGCCGGGAATGCACAGGATTCTCTAACAAGACGTCACCAAGATTTCGTTCAGCGAGGCTGTCATGTACTCGGGCCAGCCGGACCCCTAGCGCTGATATCAGGAATGGTCTCGTTACAATGATGACGGCAAAGTGGTAGGAACAGGCGATGTGCAAGCTGCCTATGACGCGGTCCTGGGCAGCAAGACAATCCTCTTCTGTGCCTGGAGGTGCAAGCAAAGACTCCGGTAGACCATCGCTCCACCGCTTAAGCTTCTCCAGTATCGACTCGGCGACCTGCGCCGAAGCCGCCTTTTTGCTGTACAATCGAGTGATCGTCTCATCCAGGATCTGCGCGAGATTATATAATGCCACCAGTCCTTCATCGGCAAGACCATGGCGCTGTAGTGCCTCAGCGATGCTGGCTCCTGATTCCGACCGGAGTGAGGCTGTTGCGGGTGGTCGTCCGAGGATGGAGCTGACGAGAAGATCAAGGTTGCATAAACTCATCCAAATACATGCTCTATGTTATAGTCTCTGCATTAGCGGGGAAGCGACAACACGATGAACCATGTGGATACCTTCGGTGCTGTTCGCTGACTGGTAGCGAACCAGAGACATCGATGTGTAGACCGAGTGCCACAGCTGCTCGAGCGGCCACCCCAAGATACATGAAAGCAGCATTTCTGCGACACGCACCGAGCATGTAGAACGACATCAGCAGAAACAAGCACACCATTTCCAGGCTGGGGTTCTCCAGCATGCTGACGAACGCCCGGCGTTGCCCCCTTGCAAAGAAGAAGTGTTCAATTTGCACTTTCGTTGGATCGTGCTTATGCGACTGTGCGCCAATGGCAATCATGACGTCGAGGAGAGCTGTTGTATGCTGTGCACGGCTAGTCTCGGAGCGTCGGTTATGTAGAAGTTGCATCAATTCGGAATCCGGCATCAGATAGAGGAAGCCACTCGTCTGTATGGACAGATGATCAGCAGGGTGTCTCTGAATAACTCGACGACGGATTGGGTTCAATAAGCCTCAGGCAGTTATGATATATCTTACTGCAATCTGGTATGCTTGGAGCAAGGCTTGACGCTGCTGGAGATCCAGCTGGTCTTCGAAGTCCGGCGAAACATTCTTGGGCGCTTCTGTTTCGAGCATGTCTTCCAATCTAACATTGTGTGAAAACTGTGACGGGCCTATGTGTTGAGTGACTGTATCTCGGAGTAACTGCAGGAAGGAAAGCGACGCAGCTCTGCCCACGTATACTGGATAGCATGTCAACTCAAGCCTTTCAGAGTGGCATTATCAACTGCTCCACAAACCTCTTTCCCCTTGCAGGCTACGCAACATTCTAGGACGCGTTTTGTGTGGTGCTTCAGGGGAAGCCGATCCCTGATCGACAGTGTTCTCGAGTGGTGCATGACGCCGGGAATCCGCAGAGGATAGTATCCGGGGCGGCGTGGTAGCAGCAACCGGTCTGCTTGGCGCACCCGGCGTGTTGAGTTGTCTTGAAGATGAGAACGACTCCCTTCGTCTGCTTGGCACACACGAATTCGCCTGTCCCTTTCGAATGCAGTTTTGGCATGGGAAAGATCCGCTACATCTCCTCTTGGATGTTCTGCAGAATAGACATGCCTCGTATGCCCGTAGACGGTTGGCGGGATGCACTTTGGGTCGTGCCATAGCCTAGATCAATGTCTAACACAGATGCAGATCCACATGCTCATGTCGTCTTAAGTGAGGCGGCTGTCAAAATAGCTTGAACACCTCCGGTGGTATTTTATTTTTCCAGCTCTGCAGGGGAGATAAGGTCTCCCCGCATTTGAGCCATGCTGTATTATGCGGCGTATCGGTTATCGTCGTCAAGCGACCGCCATGTGGGCGGGGGAACGTGTTGATCTCCAAATGTCTCCGTTCCGACTTCCGATTGATTGTGCCTTGGGGCTTCCTC